TAAAACGTATCAAACGAAAAAAAAAATGTTTGCTATTTAAACTAAGGAAAAATATGCCTCAAATGAGCAATTTTTTATCATTTAAGCTTAGTATCCAGCCTTCAAGAAAAAAAAAATTTTCATTTAAAGACGCTTAAGGAATGAAAAATTAATTTGCTATCAAAATTTTAAACTAATCTGCATCTCACAAGAAATGTCTTACATTTTGTACAACATTTTTTTATTTGTTAAGGCATATTGCAGCTCTCAAGAAAATTGAAAAATTCATATAAAATGACAGACAAGAAATGGAAACGAAATTTTCTTCTATAAATAATTATGCAGCGCTCAAGCAAAAATTTATTATTTATATTATTTATATTTTATTTATTCAAAAAAATTTACAGCAACCGCCGAGCACTTTTTCTTGTGGCTTTTCTTGAGAACTACAGACGACCCTTAACTCGACTGCTATTATTACAATCGACAAAAAGAATGACAAATATTTTTGAGCTTTTTCTTTATCTGGATACTAAGCTTTAGAATTCAAAAACAATTGGAAAAAAATTAAAGATGATAAGATTCAGTAATAAATTTTTAAAAACTAAAATTAAATATTCAGGCAGGTTCTGCAATTCACGTACTAGTGAATTTCAATGAAATCCCCTATGAATTCAAATTGGCAGGGGTTGAAATTCACTCAGAAGTGAATTGAAGAACCTGCCTGAATAAAAAAAAAAAAACATATTCTAAACCATAATGAAACTTAAATGAAATAAGCGCCATCCAGACGTATACAAAGCATAACGCAGGGATATTCAAACATAAAATATTTTGCAGGTAAACATATTTCAATCTAGACTGATATACTATGTAGTAGTATAACTGTCGAATAACTGTAATTTATATTATTGTAGCACACATTCTGATTTACATTACCATTTACCAAGAATGATAGAATACAAGAATGCGCCCATCAGAGAGGATTTTTGAGAATAATTTTTGTGTGACGTCACACTGGTGCATTTGCGAGAGCCAGAAAGCCAAAAGGCGAGCAATAATGGAAGAAGAAAAAAATTTGCAAGAAAAACGTAAACAAATTGCACAAGCGTGACGTCATACAAACAGCGATACTGTCACTGTCAGCGGAATAGCGGTACCGTGATGGGCGCCACATTTGTTCTCAACATCGTCACCATTTTCTAGGTGACAAAATGTAGTAGGATGTCGAAAATTAAAAACACTAAACAAATGCATGCAAGTTCAGCTAGAAATGGTAAAAACTATAAAACGTTGTGTGTTGCGACTTAAATTAATATAAAATAGCGCGGTCAAAGGCTCTCATAAATAATGCTTTAAACTCAAGAGTCCCTTTAAATGTAAGAACTTTAGTATATTTTAAAAATGTATATCATTTTAGGAAGACGCATATGCAACAAATTGAGGGTCACTGTCTTGTGGCTAAACAACATCTTGTTAGTAATTATATCATATCAATCATATGTGATTTGGTTTATCTCCGAAAATATTTAATACATATTTTCAGAAAGCAGAATAATTCATTCATATAATTATTTGGCTAGCTTTTGATAGTAACTAAATACTTATATAAAATGTACAGTCCAACTCAGCAAAATATGTTCCAACAGCATCATCGAATTAATTAAGAGCTGCATAACAGAGCGAAACGTTGGCCTGCTCCCAATATCCTTACACTATTCGAAGTTTCTTTGAAATTCAATTTCGGAAGGAATTTTCGTTAATAAAACCAATAGAATAGAACGAATACTCTGCTGATTAGTAGTACAAACAAAATTGAACTGAAAACCATTTATTTTCGTTTATAATTACTCCTTAATTAGGCGCTAATTTTACTGAACTTTTTCTGGTGAACGATTAAATTGTGTTGTTTTTCTCATTAATTTTTATACCCGAGCGCACTTGTGCACAAGGGTATTATAACTTTGTTCACATAACGGTTGTTTGTAACAGGCAAAACGAATCGAGATAGATATAGACAAATGTATACATAAATGATCAGAATGAAAAGAGAAATCGATTAAGCGGTGACTGTCTGTCCGTCCGTCCGTCCGTCCGTCCGTCCGTCCGTCTGTGCACACGATAACTCGAGTAAAAATTGAGATATCTTAACGAAACTTGGTACGTGAACTTCTTTTGGGCGTGGGACGGATGGTATTGAAAATGGGCGATATAATCGGATAATAACCACGCCTACCTCCCATATAACGGTAATTTTAAGAAATACGAAAACTGCGATATTTTAGTAACTACTGAAGATAATTCACTCAAAATTGATACTTACATGGAGTTTCAGACGGAAAACATGAATGTTATAAATTTTTGGAAAATGGGCGTAGCCACGCCCACTTATGGTTACATGTGTATATCTTGGTAACCGCTGCACCAATTTCTTCCAAACTTAGCACAGTTGTTGGCCTTTGCACAGCATACCAAATGGCCGAAAATTTTAAAAATCGGACAATAACCACGCCTACCTCCCATATAACGGTAATTTTCAGAAAAACGAAAACTGCGATATTTTAGTAACTACTGAAGATAATTCACTCAAAATTGATATTTGCAATGAGTTTTAGACGAAAAATAAGAATATTACAAAATTTTGGCAAATGGGCGTAGCCACGCCCACTTATGGTTACATGTGTATATCTTGGTAGCCGCTACACCAATTTCTTCCAAACTTGGCACAGTTGTTGGTCCTGGTACAGCATACCAGCTGGCCGAAAATTTCTAAAATCGGACAATAACCACGCCCACATCCCATATAACGGTAATTTCGAGAAATACAAAATCTTCGATAAATCAGTAAATATTGAAGCTAATTTATTCAAAATTGATGATTGCAACAATTCTTTACCAAGAAATACGTTTATGACAAAATTTTGGAAAGTGGGCGTAGCACCGCCCACTTGTGATCACATATATGTATCTCGCTAACCGTTCTAGCAATTTGTACCAAGCTCGGTATGGTTATTGTGCTTGCCACATAAAAGCAAACCTTTGCAAATTGTTGAAATCGGACTAAAATTGAGGCCGCTTTTCATATAACGGTAAATTTCAGATATGCATGAAATTTCAATATTTCGAAATTTAAGGACGCTAATTTACTTAAAATGTATACAGCTTATCATGTAGCGGTAGCTTTCGGAAAGGTGGAAAACATATATTTAATACTTGCGCCGGGTATTTAATGTTCGGCTCCGCCCGAACTTAGACTTTCTTACTTGTTTTTTTTTAATTATGTCAAAATAAAACCAGTGTGGTTTGTTTTGGTGTTTTTAGGTTTGTCAATTGAATTGTCAATTACAACTAACTTTCGCACAATTTAGTAAAATAAAAGTAAATAAAAATAATGCAAACGACCCAGTAACATTTTGTATGGAGAGTAAACTTAATAAAAAACTAAATATTAGAATAAGCAATTAAAAATGAAAGAAGTACGAAGAACGTACATATGTATGTCAACTATAGAAGAAGCCCGAGTTTTGTCTTAAAAAATAAAACTTCGCTTGAAATACATATTAACTAATGTGTATGTACGCCATTATTGAGGAAATTGGATGATATGATTTTTAAGTTCTTTTTTGTTTTTTGTTCTTTGTTTCTTTACTGGAACTAATACTCTCACGCAGCTACATCACTAAATCCATTACCAAGTCATTCGTTCTTATAGGCACACGCATTACATATAACACATAGTATGTAAATCTGGAAGAAAACAATATAAAAAATAAAAATAAAATAAATTGGAGGCAGAAAATAAAATTTAGAATATTTATAAATTTTATATAAATAAATGAGGTGAAACAAAATTTGGGATGGAAACGGGCACAAACTTTAACCAGGTAGAAGTCGTTCAATCGTCAAGACAACTGTCAAAATTAAAACCCGTAGTCGTCATCGTAGTCATCGGAGACTGCCTGAATCCCACTTTCCTGCATTCGGCAAAACACCTCCGATTTTGGTGGATCAACGCTTCAAATCGATAGGAAAATTTACCGTGGCCCAAGAACATCTTACATGAATGGACATTCCAACAGGCCTCCGCTCCTGCTCATAGGGCAGCAGAAGATCAACACAATTGCAAAGAAAAATATCCGAAAGTTATCACAGCTGCAGAGTAGCCAGCGTAGAGTCACCAGATCTGATGCCCATGGATCACTACGCCGTGAATGCCATCTGATTTCGATATTTTACCGAAGTTTTAAAGCTCTGTGTTTTGGTGCCAAGGGAGGCAACCCCGTTATTTTTTGTCACCCTGTACATGGCGTACAAATTCTGAGTCTTACAGGGCAATTATGGCAACTGTCTTTCAACTCAACACAGTCTTTCGAAAGACAATTGGTAATTTCGGCAAGCTACATATCTTTTCTGTCTTTCGAAATACTAATTGAAAGAAAGTTGACATTTATTAATCGCTCTTATAGGCGAGTTAAGCTAGGCGAGCAACCGCGAATATTTTCCTGCTTAACGATCGATTTGTTAAACCACATGGGCCAAAAATGGCCAATTTTACCAAGTCAAGCAATTTTTTGTCCCCGGGTTGACCTCTTTTAAGAGTCTTTCAGAGCTGGTTCTCACCATTTTGCAGCTTCCTTTAAAAAGTTATCATACTTTAAGGGGAGTTATTTTTGTTTGATGATATAGAATGTATGTATGCATGTATGTGTGTGTGTGTTTGTATGTGTATGTGTATTCGTTTGTTTTTGATTCAGACTAAAACGCCATAATACTTGCTTTACTTAGTTCCAGCATATTAGCTACATTCTATTCTAGAAATATTCTAGAGCAATTATTCATGTTAAGCTTTATTTTAGCAACAAATTTTATTAAATTTAAATTTCGTTCTTTCATAACCGCATTCTGTAACAACTCTTCGTTACCACCAGCATTATAATTTTTTATATCTCCTACTTTACCATGCTGAATACCTCTATCGCTACCTATAGCCTTCCACTTAATATTCGGTTCAAAGCTATTCATACGTTGAAATGTTAACATTTGTATTTGTATTGTTTCATTTAGTTCATCAGCATATAAATTATGATTATTTTTATTTCGTTTCATTAACCATTTGAATTGCTCATCATTATTCAAGTCATTGACTGTCGAATATTTTCTCTTCATTCTGCCATTAAAAACGCATAACATCACAAATTTATAGATTAATAACATTATGCATACAAATTGTACGAAATTTACAAATTTCGCACTCTTTTGCAAACTTACAACAAAACGATGACAACGGAGTCATTCCGGAAGCGCAAATTGATCTTGTTCCATTGGTTTTTTCAGCCAGCTGCCCAGGTCTTCGCGTCGAAAAGCCGCAAATAACTCTTTCTTGGCAATCTGAAAGATACAAAATGGGTATAAGTATTATCTTAACACAGATATTAAAAATATACATATGTAGAAGCGGGTATTTCATGTTAAGTTGTTTAGAAAAACATTAATTTAGGACAAGTACGCTGAAATGATAGCAGGAAACTTTCCGGTAAGTAATTTTCTACCTTAAAGAGAGTTTCCACGACGTTTAAATTGCCCTTTTATAAGTTACACGACGTGCTAAGTTTGCTAAAATTTCCAAGGCTCTTAAAAACAAGAAAATGGGGCCGAACTTCAATAGTAACTGGCACTCCTACTTATGAATTCATGCATGACATCTCGCTGTATTATAATTGCTTGCGATATTTATATTTTTTTTATATATTTTATTTTTCGCAATTTTTTTACACAAATATGGTTAATTAAAATAAAAAATAGCCGAGCTTCTCCTCCGATTTGTGGGGTGCGCCTTGATTTTTGTCACACAAAAGGGGAGGGACCTACAGTTTTACGCCGATACCGAACGGCGATTGTATTTTTATGAGAAGCTCTTTTTTATGACAGAAATACACTCGAGGTTTGCCATTGCCTGCAGAGGGGCGACCGCTGTTAAGAAAAGGCCTTTTTTTTGAAATTTTTTTGCGATGTTGCTTTGAACAGGGCTTGAACCCAGGCCCTGCGGAGTGGAAGCGCGCACTGGTTACTACTACACCACAGCGGTCAAAAAACCTCAGGCGATTTATTCAGAGAATGCGTCAGACTAGACTAAGCATACTTTCAGGTGCCATCAACTTATTACCTTAATAAGTCCTGCTATATGCCAATTGAGAAATGCTTATGCAAAAATTTCATAAATTGCAAAAAGAAAGTTTTGCAACAGCAGCTGTGCACATATCTGTGCTGACCACTTTATGCGGGTTGCTCGAGGATGTAGTATACATTGAGAGTTAAATCTCTACTGGAAAACGGGCTCTGAGTTTTCATAGTTTATATATAATAATTTCTATACGTTTGTAGCTTAGGAATACAAATTTTAAAAATCCGCTTTAAAATTGAGATGAAGGCACTGTAAATTCACGGCATACAAGTTCACTCACCTGGTAGTCCTTAACCCTCTCCTTTGTTTGCCCGTAATCGGTAGTCAGCTTGCGATTTGGTATGCCCGGTAAATTTTTCATCAAATAGCCATACTTCATGAAGTACATTTGCTTGGTTATGCGCGATATTTGGTTATTTACCGTTTTACCGGTAAGTGAATTCACCACCTCGACCTCACTGTCGCCAATTGTCCAATTGATGCCGAAATTCGGTGCCTTAGCCTGATTGCGAGGCTCAGCGGAGGTGACCAACGCCAAGCGTGGTTTATTCAGATGATAGGGCGGCGGAAGACCTTGTATGGATTTCTCTATTCGGCCGCAAACGGCACGATACATGTGCTCTGGATGCAACAAGCTGCCCAACACTATGGAATGCAAGTAAATTGGCTCGACAATGGAGGCCAGCAGAGATCCCTGTATGCCAACGATATTCCAGCGAGCAATCTTGTCGGAGCAGGACATGGTCAGTAGACGTTCGCCCTGTGAAGAAGCAGAAATTTCAATTTGAATTGTTGACAAAAGTGATGATGAATTAAGATGGCAGGTGAAATTTATTAGCCTTACTTCTAAAGTCTTGGTAGACACTCACCTGCAATACACCGTCCCATGTTTGTAGGCCCTCTTTGCTTTTTACCGGTATAGTCCCCTCACCCGATTCGATTTTCGTACGCAATTGACCACGCGCCTTTCTGCCATCGACAGGCATGACATGGCATGGCATGGCATTTTGCATTTAGCGGTACAATACAAATTTAGCAGCAGCGTTCGTAAATGAGGCGAGTAATCAGCGAGTGGTTTGCGCAATGAATTTTATGTTAAATTTCATTCAATAGGATATTTTGGAAATTTACATTTCAAATTGTAATTTGAATAGCATAAAAATCGCAAAAATTAGTATTTTAATTATGTAGGTTATAGTAGTATATATAAAATATTGTCATCGATCGTACGCAGACGCAGTAGTTTACAGCAGTTTGTCACAGTAGAGACATGAGCGAAATCACCAACAACGCAACGGAAGCGAACACAAAAGAGTAACAGAAAAACGACATTTCCAAAGAACATATATAAAAAAAAAACATTGAAATTATTGGAAAAAAGAAATCGAGAGAAAAAAGAGAAGAAAGAATTCATTTATGGATTGTACTTGATTAGTAAAATAAAATAAATTTAATAGAGACTATACTTAATTTTTAGGTTCATATTATTATTTTTTTTTTGGTATGAAAATTTACGCATTTTAAAGTGTAAAAAATTGTCAGAATACTACGAAAATTGTATTGTGAACAAAGAGTGTTAAATCTAGCTGATTTATCAATCTTTGTATTGCCATTCGAATTTTGAGGAATTTTTGAGTGAGTACCAGAACTATCAAACATGCTTTTTTTACGTAGTAGATTATGGAGTTCGCATTTTAACAAAACTTCGTAGAGTACCAGGAAAAAATAATGCTCTTACAGGTTTTGCTTAATCATTAGGGTTCGAGACTAACTGACATTTCTTTTCGAAAACGTGTGATTTCCTCAAATCCCAAAATAGTGCATTTTTTGGTAGTTTTTTCTTTGTTTCCAACTAGACTCTGGTAATCTCCTTGGGAGTACCAAAGTCATCCATGTGTCTGATTTTGCGAGCGTTTTCTTGGCTGAAGTTTTGACTATCGCCGAAGGCAAGTCAAGATGAACGAATCGTTTTTTTCGGACAGTCCGAAAGCCATTAAGGCTCTGACGTTCTTTACAACAAGTTGAAATCGATTTAGGAGAGAAGTTCTTTTAAAAGAGTTTGTAATCAGTTCAAAGTAGACTTAATTTGGTTTTTTTGACCTATTGTAATATACCCGGAAAAGAGGATGTTGATGAGTTATCTATCGGAAATATCGGAGAATTTGTTTACAATCTCCAGCAGTCGAGTCTTAAGTGGCGGATAGCCTCAGACTGCCGAATTGTCTAACTCATGTGGCCCGAGTACAATCTCAAAAGAATACGCAACCTATTGGTAAAAAACTGTCGGACCAAACGCGACTTGGAAGCTAAGTTTTTTCGTCAAGTTTTTTACCTAACCTATACCCAGCGCTGCTCCGAGGGGAGATGCAGATCGTACATTGGCCGCAGACCGTCCGTAAAAGCAGCATACCAATATGTATATTTCTTGATTTCTCAAAAAAATGTGTCTTCAAAGAATTACCCTTAGGCGCTTATAGACAGCGGCGGTGATGAATGGCTCTTAACATTTGTCAAACTTTAATTGATCGGACAACATAAAAAAAAATTTTAAATATTTGAAAACTGGCACTCCTTAACGGTCCGAGCTCTACACTAAGCCACTTAAGGGCGAATGATTTGTATCTAACCTGGGAAGATGGTTTTAGTGGCAATGGAAGTTTTTACGTAGAAATATGAAAATAACTTCCACAAACCTTCTCTTTTTCTTTCTCTCGGGAGAAAGAATCGAGTATGACTATTCGTGTTTTTTACGGCTGACCATCGGCTAAGAGTGGAATAACGCGGAGAGAAACGAATGACAAACAAAGCCGAAAGCCAAGCTGCTATTAAATTTATACAACACCTTAGGATTCATGGTAGGAAAATGATCCGTACTCACAACACAACTATGCAAGTTGCTAATCTCCATTTCCATAAGTTCCTCGTGGGCGAAAAGGAAGTGAAAGCCTTAAATTAATGAAAGCTGGGCAATGTACAGTAACGAGAGATGTGATTTTGTAAGTTTCAAGGGTTCCATAGTGCACCGCCATTAAACCGCTGGCTAAAAGGATCCAGGCACCTGGCTTTCTATGGTTTTCGCCCAGCGTTCGCTGAGGTGATTAAATGCCCACCTTTCTGAAAGCAGACCATATGTTGCCATTAGAGTCCCGTTCTCTCCATACTCGGCGACAATTCCTGGCCTGGAACCCAAATAAGCTTGATAGCGAAGTGATTTGATGCGATATAGAGAAGCTAGGCATCAGCGGTTCATTTTCTTTTTTAGCGGCTACATCCACTAAGAAAACACTGCATTGATCCGAGAGCCCAAATTTGGTTGTCTGCAACAATGTAACCGACGACTTCTTTACCCTGTCCTTTTTTAATTGATGCCCCACTTCCAAGAAGCTTACAGTCAAGGATCAAGCCCAATTGCTTCTACCTATCAAAGAGAGTTTGCTGATTATTGAGGCAGGTTGGACAATTGGGATTTTATACCTTCTTATGAAAAGAAGGTGCTCCTTTTTGTTAGGATTTGCACCTAAAACGCAGTTAGCAGCCCAGTTTTCAATTAACTTCAGGTTTCCCAGTGACAGCTCTAACAGGGTGTCTAAGAACTTCCTTATGGGTTACGTCGCCAGCGTAAGCAACCTCTGCTTACCGAGGAGGAGATGAACTGGCAAGTAACATTGGTCCAAAAGGCTGGCATTTCCATAATGTCTTGGAATTTCTTGTGTTTTCAAAGCCAAACCATATGTTTTATCAAGTGTGGCCGAATGCCGTATTTGTAAATTTCCGATGTTCAAGAACCGGGACTGTCTAGAGGAATAATATTCTCCTCCGCTAGGGCAGGCATCTTGTCGTGGTGCGGGTGCTTGGCTCAATCGCCGTTCAGTCGTCTGCAAGATCGGAGCAACGAGGTTCGGCCGCGGGCTGTGGATGAACAGTAAGCAAAAAGTGCCAATCGCCTAATACCAGGGTGTTATGCGTCGACCGTGTCTATTGGAGGATTTGCAGTGGTCTATAATATCTTCTGTATTATAAAGGTGTCTTCCTGACACCAGGCCGCATCCGGAGGTAGCGGTGACTCCACCGCAGCGAGAGACGCTGCCGCGTGGTAAGAACTGAAAAGTAGGACGACTGCCACAGCGATGACGATAAAGCGTTGACCTCTACGGCGGTAAGACAGAAGAGCATAGTCGAAGGCTCTCTAGCGCGAAACTGAGTGAGAAAGGGTGGTAAGATATCGTCGAGCGTCAATTTGGTGGAGGTGACGAAAAGGCCCCAGTGGCATTCTATGCATGCAAAAATATGCTGGACTGCACCTAGGGCCTGGGCTTCCATATTCTCAGTGAACCTTCACGGCGATAGTTAGGCCGATACTCTTTCATGGGGGTATTCGTTTGTGGGACAGCAATAGAGAAGAAAACATTTCTTAAAATAAAAGATAGTGTATAAAGGCTACCAGTGTGATTGGCATTACAGGGGCACTTAGGAGTACACCAATGGCAGCACTTTACACCTTGTTATATCTCTTGCCAGCGGAACTATCGGCTAAGAAAATAGCGTCTAGTTCCTACGGGCACAGTAGTATAACACTCGGACGGATTGACTACATGATCCCGGATCTGCTCTTTGGGATGAACTTCGGACCCACTGCAGAGGTCGAAAGCTGGCGTGACGGCATTAGGAATGCTTGCTCGCTGAATGTCTATACAAATGGGTCGAAGATGGAGAAGGACGTCATCCGCGCTGAGCTCGGTCTCAACAAATCCTATAAGATGTCGAACTACTGAGCAGCAATCTACCACATAAATAGGTGAATCTTCCTCAGCTCTGGAGTTGCTACACACTGGTACTGACGTACATATGTATGTACTGGGTTCCGCGGCACACGGGCATCACGACCGAAAGGCTTGCCGAAGACGGCGCTCTGTCGGAAACTATGCTGATAGAGGAAGTATCGATTTCCCTGCAAGCGATCAAACGACAGCTCGACCTATCCATGATCCGGAATATCGATTGATATCACTTCCATTAATGGCTCTAAATACGAGGACTTAAACGAAAACAATACTTAGCACTATGAGAGTATGATAATCCACATACTCAGTAATACTTAGGGGAATAAAAATCTTTAATAATGTTCGAGAGATTCACTTATATAAATTCGATCAGAGGCCGGTTTCAAAATATGATTTTAAGCATAACGTATCTCACAAGGTTGAAAATAATAAGTGCTTTCAAAATTAAGTGATACCAAATGATTATTAAGACGTACATTCATATAGGTCTCACCGAGAGGTAATGTTGAAAAACATACTACCTCGCCCACTTTTAGTTCATGCACTTTACACTTTTAGTTCAAACAATCTTAAAGTAGAAATATTTCAAGTATGAGCTAAAGGTAAGTAGGGAGTATATGTATGAATATCATTTCAAACTTTTCCCATATTACATGGAAAAAACTTCGACGAATTTAAAAAGTGTTAAAAAAATAAACTTCGAACCTACCCATCAAAAGATTCCTAGGGCTCTTCACCTCCATCTAGCATACGGTTGATATTTTGGTACTCACTTAAAAATTCGAATATATTCATTTTGAAATAAATATGTATGTAGTATTAAAATACTATAAATATTTATTAATTTCTTACAAATAACAAAATGGGAAGCATAACTCAATTCAAATGTTCCTTAAAAAAGGTGTTCTTCTTGTTTACTTATTTACTTGTAAATATCATTTTAGAATGCATGTTTTTTCTCTTTCAATACTTAGTAGTAGTAGTCTAGTTTGTTTAACTTTAAAAATTTTTTGTAATTTCATTTGATTTTGTTTACCAACCTATTTGGATGTTTGTCAACACCAGTGTCATTTTCGTGAGGACTAAAAATCCGTGCATCACCACAAGGCGCTGTATTGATGTACAAATGGAAATGAACACCGGATTTTAGTTTGTACGGGTATTGCCCATTGTCTTGATTCCTCACGAAAATCGACTGATTTGCAGTGGCTATAAAAATCAAAAGTTGAAAAAAAGAAAAATTTGTTTATGCGACTTTAGTAAATACGAGATTAATTGTTTGACGCATGTCATGTTTTGTTGTATTATTTGTTAGATTTATATTATTAATAAAAAAAGTATTAACTATGTAATTGTATCTAGTAAGTAATTCGAGTATACGCTTAAGTTAAAAAATGGTGGGATTCTAGAGCAATTAGTATTTATTAAAAATAATAGTGTTAATATATGTGAAAATGTAACCGATTTTAATTTTTTTTTATTTTCAAATGCAAACTAGGCATCTAGAAGATTTAAAAAAAGCTAAAAATAAAAGTATTAATTTTTTACGCTACCGGCCGCTTTTCTATGCTTGCTATTTGGAAAAAAAAGTTAGAAGAGCTTAAAAATTTGTTAATAAATAAAAAATAGATAAAAAAATGTTTATATTTTATAATTTGGATTTTAAGTGATTTGAAAGTTTGGCATGTGAGTAATATTTCAGATTTATGATTGATTTTAAGTTAAACGGTTACACGCAGTGACATTAACCCGTGAAAGTAACTGAAATTAACCCACACGACCTTTACATATGTATAAAAATAGCAATAATTTTCGCAGGTATTAGCTCCGTTCCATATAGGTATTTAGGAACAAATAATTTTTACAATTATACATATTTGCTATGCCCACTTTAAAAAAAAAAAATACATTTTGAATCGAGAAGCAATAGCTGCTAACCATTTCTATGCAGTGATACGCAATCTTCTCATCAATGTTGTGGAATTTGGAGTTGTTTTAGCTTGGTATAAGCGAATTTATTTAAAGAAAATCCGTTCGAAAGGTTTTTTCTCTCCTCAAAAATATGAAAAAACTGCAATTATCAACTTTTCACTCCAAGCTAGCGATATGTTTATATGTACATATACATCGTCAATGTTTTTGCAAAACCGCCTAAATCGCTGTTGTGCCAAAAATGATATTTGGTAACCCTGAACTCCAGGCATCGAGATTTATGCATACAAATCTTAAAATCGTTATATTTGTAAAATAATAGACAAGCCTTGATAGTTAAAAATGAATGCTTGATAAAGTTTTGAATTTCCTACTTCACATCATTAAAAAAAAAAAATTGCATGGAAACTATTCTGCAAATTCGAAAACTAGTATTTTTTTTAGCTATTCAAAAGCGAAACTAAAGAAGTAACCACTAGGGGAAATGCGCGCTCAACTAGTTAAATTTAAAATATTAAAAGGAAAAAAAATTACAAATACGCGACTAAAGCAATGAGTTAACAATTTGAGCTTTTTTATTCATTATAATTCGTTCTCGACATGACCGCCCCTATTTCTGATACAAATCCTCATTCTTTTCCTCAAATTACTCTTCACGAGGCTTGTTCTTCGATGCAGCCTCATTTTGTCAGCCGTGTCAAGTATCTTTGGTTTTGGCACATCTACATTATCCTTCGGTATTAAGTCGGCGCTCCTCGCCGGTCATGGTATTGGACCCCCTCTTCCAATCCATTTATTGGGATAATTATCGTCGAGCCATGCTCGTACACTTTTCCTTTAGCCAGTGTTGTTCTTTACGGCAAGAGGCATGTCCTCCATTCATTCGAGTAAATTGTTCTCTTCAGAGTTGAATGATACTAAGTAAATATGTATTCTTTATAAAAAACTGGGGTTACTTGATTATCTTTTTTATATAGGGTGATTCGAAATATATTGCTGTTGTGGGACAAAGGGTGGACCAGATGGAAAAATAATTAGAACTGAAACGTAATGATCTAAAGTCGTTTTGTTCTCCACGACTGTGTATGTGTAGTCCAGATCGAGCTACATACTTCCAAATGTAAACATATGAATACGACATCAATTTCTATCGCTTACTTCGTACACATATTTATTGTTCTGCCTGAGGTTGAAGGTGAAAGATGCCTCTTTTGCTTTTGATTATGTAAAATAGCTGATATTGGAATTTAACATTTTATTATGATAAAATGCATATAAGCAACAGAAGTGAGTTGAATGAAGCGTTTTTAAAAGTACGTTGACGCGTTAAAAAAGCAGCAGAAAAGAAAACCCGCATTTTATTGCGTGGCTCGGTGAACAATTTATAGCGCAAACAGCACCTATTTTTAGCTAATCACTGAACAACTTATGATTCAAACTATGCATATTGAGTGAATCATATAAATACAAATGGAAAGCAATAAGAATAGATCTCATATGTAGTACATATGTTTGCATGTGTAAATGTTTATGAGTAAACAATATCGCGACGTTGTGAGCCGCCAGCGCGTATATATTGTTAAGTGTCCCATATGGTCTAGTGGCTAGGATATCTGGCTTTCACCCAGAAGGCCCGGGTTCGATTCCCGGTATGGGAAGTCTTTTTTTAACTTGATTTTTTATTGGTACCGCGTTATCATAAATGTTTTCCTTCTTAAATTCTATATTAAACCATGCAATTAAAAAAAAATACATTACATATGAAAGAAAACAAACCAAAAAAAAAGTGTCTGGTAGCGAGTTTTGCATGCATTGTCGAAATTTGTAAATATGTACGAATACGAGTACTCAAATAAAGTAAGGCAAAAATAAAGGCAGTAAAATGTTGCATTATGTATAGCGAAAGCCAAATAAATGTATGTATGTATATACATTACAAAACTTGCTAGTAGCGCATCCATGCCAACATAAGTTTTTTGCAAAAATGCAGTTTTCGCAAAGAAAGATGTAAATTTTTTTTTTATGAAAGCTACTTGAAACGAATTTCTACCCTGTGTTCCTTATGCGCTTTTTTCTTTTCTTTTTTTACTCTTTTCACAACTTTTCGCGCAAAGCCTGGCACATTTGTAGAATTTCGCAGCTATAGCACAAACCGCATTCAAACAAAACTGCAAAGTTATGCAATGTGCGCTGTACAAACTAACCCAAAATAAAACTACACTACTACTTTATCAAAAAATAAAACTTACAATAATATAAGTGTATATTTTTTTTTTATATATAAATACATATATGTACATACATACAATTTGCATACGCACTTGCGTGCACATGTGCGGATGTATGTACATATATGTATTTACGATTTCAGTAGAGACTCTAAGAAGGGATTTGGTGTACGAAATAGTGGCGGCAAAGTTTATATACATAAGTACATAAAAATTAAAAAACTTTAAAATTAAATAATAAAATTGTTGTTTCTATTAAAAGGTATACATATGTATGTCTGAGTAAAATACTCCTCGTCATCTACTAGGCAAGTAAGTATTCAGTTGGACAAAAATTAAATTATCGCTTCAACATACCCTGACTGCATTGTAGATCCAATTGAGCATATAAATATTTCATTAGACAACGCCGAGAGACGATCTCAGCATGTGAATCGTTGAGCACAGCGCCAGTGACACTCATGTGTTCGCCGCTCACACATTTGGTGCCAGTGGACACGGAAATGACCTGCCAATTGGAAATTCGTAAAATTACTTTGAAATGACTATAGAAAATTTCAAAGACTGCACGCACTTTGGCTTCACTGAAATTCATATCTTCGGTCATTACAATGCCAGCCAAGACTTTGCGGCGCGAATACGATTCCTGTCCCTTGATGACCTCCATGAATTTCTCCAATACCAAGCGACCAATAGTGTCAGCGTGTATTTGTGGCAATTCCATGGACGATGTCTTATCATCGATCGGCAATGGCACATTCTTTTGTGGATGCATCATTGGGCTGTACGAAATGTTGCATAGCGAAGCTAAAGCAGCCTTGGCAGCTGCATTCTTGGCCAACTTCTTTGATGGACCTATCAATGAGCAGAGGAAAGTAAGTCATCAAAAACAAATATAAAAATATGCACATGGGTCAATCCATGTCAAATCGAACATTTTTGGTTTGAATGAATTTTGGTCAGAACTTTTCTTTTATCATATGACGAAGTTCTGCCAAAGATTTTTTTTTAAGTCTGCAAAATGCAAGATCTCACAATTTAAAGGGGTTTGCAAAACTTTTTTTTTGCAAAGTTCAAAAATTCATGTTTAACAAAACAAAAAAAAAATCAGGGTTTTTTAAGATCAGAGGCGTTGAGAAAAAAAATTTGCCACAAATTTATATACAGTTGTCGAAAAAATATTGTCAAGTTTTACCAACTAATTTTTTTGGTATTTAATTTTAGTTATTTTCTTATAAAAAAAACGAATTCTTTGACAAAGCCCGTTCGTAAAAATTTCGAGCATTTTAACAAGCTTTCTTAGAAAGATTTTCAGATTTTAAGAATGCAGTTTTGTAGTCCCTTCAATTCAAGTATAATAAAATGGTCCATTCCAACCATGGGTCGATTTAACATGGATTCACCCATTTGCATTCATCTAAATATTTACATACCTGTGCCATCGAATTTGCTATTATTCACCGTTACAGTCATTTTGAAGCGACAATTATTCTGTGCTCCATCCACTGTTGAGCAATCGAAGTGTACATCGTTGAAGAGCTCATAGAGTAGCATAACAGGTCCCTTGTCCGGCACTTTCTTCTGGCCATCCACAGTAATGGCGCTCTTATTTACATCTAACGTGGAGTACAAAAATGTGTTGAATGTTAATGATTTGTGGCGGAGAAGGCGCAGTGTATATGAAAACATATTTTCAATTAGTGCTTTATATGTATGTATGAATAACTAGCTTGGATGGAAAAGCGCAATATATGCCGATGCGCCTTGTGCGGCTGCGCGTTGATCTGTTTCATTAACTAACTCTGTCCATTGGGCAAGATTCAGGAGGGGAAACAAACTACATACTTGGTGAATTTATTGGTTAAAAAAGGTGAACAGAAAATTTTAACTCAAATTTATTTACTTGGTAAAATGAGAAGGGATTTAAAAAATAAAAACATGAAATAGTAACGAACTAAGGGTACGAACAAAAACAATTTCAAACAACACAATTTTATAATTACCTGTTTCAGAAAATATATGTATGTATTTGAATTATGTTGGCGCTAAGAATGACATCGAAATTCAAAGAGGTCAGAGTTATTTTTAAAGAGTATCAGGGACTGTAATGGTTCTGATTTTTATAAATAAAAAAAAATATTTTTTTAGCCCTTGAAATTGGCCACAACGTTTTCAGTGCCTCATTGCCTCATCTTGTTCTACGTCACCACACTACAGCAGAATACGAGGCGATCGGCCTGACTATAGGTACATACAGTACTGGTCATATCTATAACGCCCCATTTCAAAATTATATCGTTTGCCTCTTATGTTTAATTATTCATTTTTAAGAATTTTCATTTAAACTATAGCTCATTTTATAACAAAATACATATAAATCCAAGTTTTAAACAAAAAAAAAAATCAACAAATTTTTACCAAAATTTCTAACTTTTTTCTCAGAATCGCTAGATTTTTTTTTGAGTACGCAGTTTTATAGCCCATTCCATTTTAGTCTAATAATGTGATTTGATTTGATTTTTTAGAATATTTTTTTGCCGCATTTGCTTCCATATAACGAAGAAACACAATTCATTTTTATATGGAAAGAGCCCACAACACCTTCGGCGAAAAAATTCTAAAAAATCAACGGTAATTTTTAGCCACTTGAAACTTGCACATTGTTAGACTAAAATTGAATGGGCTATAAAACTGTGTACTCAAAAAAATTCTAACACTTCTAAGAAAGAGGTTTGAAATGTGGTTGAAAATTTGTTGCAATTTTTGGTAGTTTTCTACAAAGTTTTAAATTTAGATTTATAAGGGTTTTGTTAGAGAATGAACTGTGTTTTAATTAAAAATTCCTAAAAATAAATAAATGAACACGAGTGGCAAACAATATCACTTTGAAGAGGGGGTGCTATTGTATTGGCCAACACCCTATGTATTATGCCGATTTATTTTCAGTTCGATGTGACCTCTTCATGCTTCGTGTCAAAAGTTCCCCTAGATATTTCACTTCCGCGGAAAGACTTAGACTTACACCCCTAAGCAACGGAAAATTCGGACTTTTCAACTATTGTAAAAATGGACATCAAACATAATTTGTATCCTTAAAAAAAAATAATACTTGCGAAGAAAAAAAAAATACTTAGAGAATAAGACTTATGTTTGAAATAAAATTGCATCTACTTTGATTAGTTTCTGAACGAAAAAGACAACACAATGTTAAAGAAATTGTGATTAGGCGGAGCTAAATCAATTTCAGTTTGGATTACCAAGCCTGAATATTACACTTGGACAATATTTCGTTGGACCCTGTTTACAGCGTAAAACTCTGCAAGAGCCCTTTGAAATTGTTTGCCTCAGGGACCAACTAAAAGCCGATAAAAACATTTTAAATTAATTTTCTATCGGTGACTTTCCTGTCCAGCTCATCCTCCACGCAGTTTCCGACAATATCACATTGCCTCGCACCCATATAAAACTGAGTACGTAATACGGTTCACACTCAAGCGGGCCGGAAGGATAGGTCAGGCATTCACCAGGCAGCATTTACGAGCCCAAGAACCGTATTGTCGCTTGGCTATCAGAATAGATAAATATTAACCTGCCCACCTGATGGAGGGCGGAGCACACGCTGCAGCCGTTGAGAAATACACAATTTCAGTATAAACTTAATTTTAGCCTTTCTGTCATAGAATTAATTTTTATGAACCACCACGAAGTGAAACCTTTCCTCTGCGCTTAAGTAAATATCTAAGTACATAGCATTTGGCAACATCCAAGTCGGACTATGGAGAATATGGTTTCCTGAGAAAGCCTTTTAGGGTACTGGTTTTTTCTTGAGAAATTCGAAGCGCATTTAAATTCTGTACGAAAAATTAGAAAAAAATCTACATGAAGAAATAACTACATTATTTTCTCACTACCAACAACAACCACCAAATGCGAAATCGCCTTCTTAGAGACCCGTTCTTGCTGTGTTTCGCGCCTGTATAAAAGCGAATTGAAGGCTTCATGATTTTGGAACTACTTCTGAGTGGAAAAAGAACCTCCGTATAAGTACATTGTGGAAGCAACTAAGTCCGACGGGGATTTCGTACACATCACACAGAGTAAAATTATGACTTATTCGGGTATGCCCCTCCCTTTTATTTATTTTTAAATACCTTTTCCTTACACCATACCTCCCATCACACAAGAAATTCAATAAAAATTAACCGAAAATTTAAAAGTACATACCCTGCAGGGAAACCGCGGACTAGTGAATCAAATTTGTAGTTCCGTACTAGGTCTTTATCGCCAAAAAGGAACTAGTCCGATATGAACTAGATCCCCTCCAGTCCAAAATCGGCGAAAAGTGGTACTTTTAAAAAACTAATTTTTTACAGTTTTTTCACTAGAAATCTATATCTAAAGTGACGAATTTAGAAATGGTTCGGAACTATAGAAAACGGGATGCAGAACGCACTAGATCTTATTTGTCGAATTTAGAACAAGTTCGGAACTATCGAAAAAGGGATGCAGCGGGGTTTGTTTACTTTGCATAGGTGTGTGTTCGGCGGCTTTTTCGTTCAAATACGCTTCTATTCTGTGCTTCGCAGATGCTTTTTCATAGCTTGGTAATACAAAACTAGAATTTGTGTTAGCATTTCAACATCTTGGGACCGTCTGCAATCTAAGAAATAACAGCGAGCACCTCTGCAAACTCAGCTACAGCTAAAGGTATGTAAACGTACATTTCTTACAATCATTCAAACAAATTTAATTTCAAATTGAAAACACATTTCCAAAATAACTTAAAATCGCACACACGGAAGAACCAAAAAGATTGAAAAATCATGATACTTTTTTCTTTCGTCTGTCGATTTCAGAACTGGTTCGGAACTATAGAATTTGGGACTAGTTCGGAACTATCGAAAAAGGGACACTTCCTGGACATCGCCATGTTAAATTCGCCAGTTGCTTGCATGCAAAAGAGATTTATCGCGAACCAGTACTGGGTCTAAATGTACTAGAAGCGCCCCAGTTCAGAACTAGAGATTTTCCCCACAGGGTACTTTTGTAAATACAAACAATTTAAGTAGAGTACAAAAAAAATATAGAAAAATAAATAAATAAAATAAACAATAACAAACAAATAAATAAAAAACAAATACTTGCTTGTCATGCTCAATGTACAATCGGAAACCTTCATGAAGGGTGTCAGTTTTTTAACAAATTTCGCATGCCTGAACAGTGCGTCTAAAAGCGAGACTAATTCATCCGTGCTTAGTTTGTCATAATTAGCAATACCGTTTTCCAGATGCTCATCGCTAGTGAAATCAAGATTACAAGTCGGCTTCAGCGGCGTCAAGACGGCACCATCTTTAAATTGTATGAAACTGCGTAACGCCGTAGCGGCTGCCTCGATGCGGGCAATCTTCTTGCTGCGACCCTGACCCATATACTTTTGTCCATCCACCTAAAAGGAGAGAAGAAACATGAAATTAATATTGTTAATTATTCGAGATAAAATAAAAGAGTAGCTGAGATTTACATTATAGGTACATTACATAAAGGTATACACATTAGGGTGGTCCAAAAATGCACGTGGGAAAAAGTAAAGTCGGAATAGTAATGCTCGCACCTAACATACCTAAGATGCCAGTTTATCGCGGATCTGAACACTTGAGACACATTTCAGTTGTTTGTACTCGCCAAAAGAAGGGAACAATTTAAGGGATATGTGTGGACCCGCCTAGAAAAATTTTCTTTTTCCCCGTCATGACAATAGGACTATGATCGCTAAAGCGAACGCACCCGCCTAACATAACACAAAACCGGCATCTGTCATATTTCGGAAATACGTAAAATACGTAGCATAAAAACTGTAACATAATTTGAGGAGGCTGAGTGGTTAGAGGTGGATATGCTGGCTGACCATAAGAGGTCCCACATAGATGAGTATAACGTGATAGGCCCCAGTTTTTGAACGACTTGATGGACTTTTTAAAAAAATTTTAATACATATTTTGCTGTTATTGCGTCAAGGAATCCATTTCTATGGTTGCAGGAACCAAAAACTCTTCTTTTTTTTTTTGTTTTTGACTTAAAAAAAATTAAAATGCGTTTTTGGTTTAATCCGACCAAGGAAATGGATTTCTCGACGCAAGAACAGTAATGTAATATGCATTTGGAAATTTTAAAAAGTTAATACTGCAACTGGCTCTAGGTAAACAAAAAAAAATGAAAATAAATTAAAACCTTTGCTTTTTTTTGAAGCTCATTTCAGCGGTCAAGGTAATTATTTTATTTAACCAGACTATTTTTTCTGAACTCTCCATCTCAAAATCTTTAAAATATCGTCACATTTATTTCGCTATCTCTTCTCGTGATATTTGATTTTCTCCATTTTTTCGAAAATAGAACACTGTGCATTGCGCTCTGTTGGTTTTATGGGGGAAAAATACCTTTTCTAGACGTTCTCTGGTCCCGGAAATTTTCGCCGTAGTTAAGAGTAAAAGTATGTTACGCATTTGTTGGATGCCTTCAATTTGAAGCGAAATGCCTTCCTATGCAGACCTTCAATACATACATACAATATCTCGATCTTCTTCCACATTACTGCGTGTTTTGAAGAGTTTTAAAACTTTCTTTATTCTGTTATTTGAATCGATGTCAGCGCACATTGACTGCTATTTACTGTTATTCATAGCGTTTTTTGTCAGCGTACTTGTCATCGCCGCAATTAGTTGTCATGCCACATGTGTGTAGTAACCCGAACTGATAACACCAAAAATTATGGAACAAACCAGACATGAACCACCAACCACCAACTACAACCATTACAACGCTAACTTAGCGACCCCTTTCGCTTTGAATTGAAAGTGGAGGCAAACTAGCGATGTATGCAACATCATTATCGCCCACATGCCGGAAAGCTGCAACAGTAACAACAATAGCAAAAAACAACAGCATAACGCTGGCAACTTCAACCACAAAAAACAGCTTTAAAAAAAGCAACGTTAACGCGCCCGCAACACCCAACAACTTGGTGGGTTGGTGCCTGAGTTGGTAATGTGTGTGTTGTGGAGAAGATAATATTGTTTGTACGAGCGAGTGTTGAGCAGAAAATCGAATTATAATGGTGTCGTTTTTGTGTTTGCGCTCCCTCAGTCTCTTCTATAGCCTAGTTTTTCTGTTTCTGCTCTTACGAGTATGTTGTCGTTAAGGATGCTTACTTTCCGTTTTTTCGCTCGCTTTTTATCGCTTGCTTCCGCTTTTTAAAAACTCTAGTTTAAGTATGCTGCAGCGATAAGCACAAAAAAAAATATCGTTAAAATTTTAATAGATATGTAGTTGCGCGCGTGCTAGTTTTTCTAAAAAAAAAAATAATAATAATTTGTCAGTGTGAACTGGATGTGTATGTGCAAAATGTAGCAAGCATCCTGTTTTTGCTGGATTAACTTAAGTCAGTTTGATTGGTAATTACCGCAGTGCACTATGTTGTTGAACTTGCCTACATATGAACTTGCATAAGTATGTATGTATGAAGTACAAAGTGGAAAAAACTTGCTTCGCCAATTTTTCGCATGAAAGAAGGTGAAAGGTTAATAGCACTTGATAAAAAAAGCAACTGCTTTCTACATGAAAGAAACGCTTAATTGCAAGTAATGAATATTAATTGAGATGTTGAGAGAAGTTTGTAATAGCACATGTATGTATATGACGTATGTTCCAACATAGTATGCATTAAGGACGCAAAAGTGAAAATGGCTGGAAAACTTACCGACCTAAAATTGTGCTACAAAGTTGGCAAAAAGAAAAAAAACTGTTTTGAGTAGCTTTCCAATAGTTCTGGAATTCTCGAAAAGGAAAAAAGGTGTAGATATTTTTCGACAAAAAAAAAAACGAAAGGCAAATAAAAAAATTTCTGAGTAGCTTTTGAATAGTTCTAGAGTTCCTGAAAAGGAAAAAAAGCTCCTCAAAATTACGCCGAAAAAAACCTTTTTTTGTTTTCGAAAAAGTCTAAAAAGTTAAATTTTGGGAAAAAATAAAAATTATAACTGATTTGAGGAGGTTTTCAATAGTTCTAGAATACCTGAAAGGTTTGAACTTAAATTTTTTTCGAAAAATTAAACCTTTTTCGACTTTTTTTTTATTTTATTTTGTCTTTCCTTACATGAACTTTTGGTCTATTGAAAAGCTACTCACAACAGTTTTAAATTTTATTTTTTAAAATATTAAACATTTTCGACTTTTTTGAACAAAAAAAATCCTTTTTTGGGGTTATTTTGTAGAACTTTTTTTCTTTATCAGGAACTCTAGAGCTAATGTAAACCTACTGAGAATAGTTTTAATTTTTGTATGTCAAAAATTAAACTTTTTCGACTTTTTCGAAAAAAAATGTTTTTTTTCGCCTTAATTTTGCAGAACTTTTTTCCTTTTCAGGAACTCTAGAACTATTGAAAAGCAGTTTTTTATTTACCTTTTTGTGAAATGTCGTATGCTGCGGGAATGTGGCATAAACAATTAAAAAAAAAAATTGTTTGTCAGAATATCCAGTTTCTTCCCCGTTTCAAGACCTCTAGAACGATTAAAAAGCTACTCAGAACAGTTTTTTATTTGTCTTTTTGCTTTATACCGTATACTAACTTCACAGACATCTCTAAGAACATTCTCGTTTTTATGACATTCTTCAAATTTTAGTGCCATATAAAAGAACACGTACGATAAGAGGTTTCTAGATGGTGATGTTTGTGCGTCGATAGAAGGCCCCGCTTTCGATTGGCTTTTTCTTCATTTTTTTCTTATTTGTGGCTCCAACAGTTTGTCGTTGTTGCTTGGGCCAATACCAAACCACTTCGCCAATTATCTCTCTGTTGTGCTAAGTTACGCCAGCTGTCCTTCCTTAGTATAATAGGCACTTTTGATCATTCCGCGTGGCCGCGGCGAAGTCGATAAGGCTCTCTCTTTGTTCTCGGAAGTATTGCTGTGGAGGATTAATTTTCCAACTCTTAGAATAAATATATGTACCTCTTTTACACAGCCAAGTAAATTCTTCCTAGATTTGCCTCTCTCGTCCGATTTCTTATTTCTCTCAATGAAAGCGGGGCTGCAGGACTGAGCGAGCTGTCGGCTGAAGCAAGTGGTGTGTGTCAAGGTATCGGTGAAATGGTGGCTGAAGATGACGAAGGACGCAAGAAGAGTTGTAGCGGGGTTCCAATGCCATCTGACAACGGTAGTGCCAATGGTGCGAACAGAGAACTACAATCCTGACTTCCTTTAGGGTGGTAAGGCCAAAGACAACAAGAAAATGACGACGTTCCGTGCGTGCGAAGTATAAGATTATATAAGTGAGTCGCCTGGAGAAGCTTTCAACGTGGAATTTTTGGAAAAAGAAGTGGAGCTTCTCAGGTTCAAGCTACAATTGGAAAGTCAAAAGACAGTCGCAGCAGCAGAAAGGATAAAATAACTTATGGCTTACTACGGCCTTCGAGACATTGCGGCCTTAGCTAACAACTATCAATATAGTACCTTTAAAGTGAGTGCCTTAATGCTTGGCATAGTCATGCGCTTAAAGCACAGCGTAAGCAAAGTTCTCGGTGTGATGGCAAAGATATTCACAAGCCGAGAAAACATTCCGCACGCACGATACAGGATCGAGAAGGGAGTCTGGAATCTGGGCCCGAATCGCGGCCTTCAAGATCGTTTCGAACCGAATCGAATAAAATGGCAGCTGTTTTCTCCCCAATACAATTTAAATTGGCAAAGCGCACTCGCTAACGAATAACATGATCTCAAATTAAATTTCGATTCGAGTTGGGTTCGAATGACGCGATTTGGGCCAAAGAGTTGTACATAGTATACCTGCACTAAGTATTAAGTTAAGTTATTGTAAACTAAACATAAGTGTCTATAGTATAAGGAACAGAGTTATGAGTCTAGCCTTTAAGGCAAAACCGCTCCGGACGCCATCTTGTAAATAGTTAGCGGAATGAAGAAACAATCGATAGTATATTTTTGCATACAGTTGAAGCAGCATCCAAGAAATAAAGAAATGGGGCGAGCCGAGAGGAGCTGCAAGCAAAATGTTTCTTTCGTACGAGGACCGGCTAAGGTCTAACATACCTATAGAAAACTTCAAAGGATGTATGAAAAGAACTTCACATAAAACACCCAACATTCCAGCTCGCATAATAGAAGCACAGAAACTAGGCGTGACATAGTATATACATATGTACGACTATGCAGAAGCATATGAATGTAGCCTAAAAAGGAATTTTTGAACACAGAATTCTTTGCCCTAAGTTATGGGTCAAAGAAAAGCAAAAAAAAATGCGTATAAACTGTATTCTTTCTCTCTCTTCTTGACAAGGATACATAAGATTACATAGCCTTAACAGAAACACATTCGCATGAACTTACATATGTACATATGCGAGGATAAAGGCGATAGATTTCAGATGGTGTTATGGTTTT